ACTGCACCAAAAAAAGGAAAATTAACTAATGCCTCATTTGATCTTGTGACCATAAAACTTGTGTTTTCATCCCCTCTTTAACCTTTGACCATCTATTTTCCCCCTTAATTTGTGTGTTATGTACCTGATAGTTTCAAATTTGTTCCTTTTATTCATGAAAAAATAATCTGCTCTGACAGTTGATCTGCCCTCTATTCATTTTAACTACTGCTTACTTAATTCTAAATTCTCATTAAGAAACAAACACTTAAACCGCCTTCTTCATAGTCCATCATATATGCATATTATTTTACTTACTGTATTCTCTTTACCAGAAGTGCATGATTGTTTTCACAAAAAATGTTGACTACGCTAACAGAGAAAACAAGCTTGCAAGAGTGAAATAGCTGATTTTTTAAAAGCTCTTTTGCCAGTTTATTACTTTAACAAAGTTCTCTCCTTTTCATATTGTTATGGCAGACTTGAATAAAATTTATGCTAGTGAATTAATATTTAAAAAATTAAAAAAAGACAGACGTCAAACACCTGAACACATGATAAAACATTCTTACAGCACATGTAGACCATACTAAAATATAGTCCGTCTACAGCCAAAATAAATTAAATGAAACAGGAAGATTTCATTAACATCATTAATGAGTACACGTATTGCAACTACAGCTCACATTTGACATCAATACCATCTATTTGTGTGACTACAAACATATGCTCAGTATCAACCTCTGGAGGATTCAGATCCCTTGTCCTGAATAGGTTTTTTTTATATCACCACACATGACCTTCATTTACAAATACACGTCCACTAACCCAGTGACTATTATCTTTATTTCTATTCATATGGTGAACTAGAGGCTTGGCGTAAAGGTATATGCTTCTAGATCTGGCATCCATGCTGACAGCCATACCAACACAAGGTCCCTGGTCTTCGGTGGCCAGGTCTCAGTCTCTCCCGAGTAAATAAAAGTCAGTATATTCAGTATCATTCCTCTCAGCCTACAGATATCCTGTTGTTCTGCAGCAGTATTATCTCCCGGCATCAACACCACTGAAACTAAGGGCAGTTTTTACTATTGTTGACTTGAGCTAGAACCAACTTTCTGTTGACAAGAAGGAAACCAGGATCATGACCCGATGATACAAGTGACATATTAACATGGTTTTCTCCAGACAGTAACACTAATGTGCTCAGATACAAAACAGCCTGTCCTTGGGTTTTCTCCACAACATCCTACTTCACAGCCACCTAATACCCAGTTTAGTTTTTTCAAATTTGCAACAAACTTAGTCACTGTCAAGAATATTTAACATTGTGTTTCTAATTCTTTCGTTAAAAAGGAAAAGGGTCATTTCAGGTTATGCAACTTTACCATGGGCATATGGCAGTGAACCACCAGCAGAAACATAAAATCTCCCTCTCCTCTAAAGCAGATGGCATGCTGATCAAGTAAGATATAATCTAATGCTAGCTGTACTACTACTGCTGCTATTAACTATTGAACCAAAACCAGTATAAAGCAGTAAAGACAAAAAACCCAAGGCAGGGGAGGTGAAGGATGAGGAAAACAACAATTAAAAAAAAAAAAAACAAAAACAAAACAAGCCCACAAAACAAAAAACCTGAAACATAAGACAACCTATCACAGCAGAAACAGCCTCTTCTCAGGCACATTTATGATTTAAAACCTAGGAATGGTAATAGGCAAGGAACAGCTATGGCCTTCATCCTGTTTTAGAGGACATTCCTCAGATTTGAGATACTGGCCCACTTCCCTTTGCTTTTGTGATTGTGCTGCACTGGGCACCTGCCAGTGGCTCAATATCCCAGCTGCTTAGATAATTACATATTTATGATTCTGCCGAGAATTCTTAGTCAAAGCTTATTTCTGAACTGCAAAACGGTTACAGAATCAGCAGAGAAAGTTCTCTGGCAAATGCTACTTCAAAGTACAGCCACCACTTCTTAAAATTTTTAAGGACAGTAGTTACTCTTTCACTTGATTCATTCAGTAGTGAACTTCAATGCTAGAAAAAGGAAGCAAGGAGTGTTTTCCCTCTGAATCTGAAAAGGATCTTATTACCGTGTTTAGCTTGTTTTCTGTAAAGAAACAGAACTAAAAAAACTTTAAGAAAATGGATTAGAATGCAGTAGTACATAAAATGCTTAATGCTTATCAAGTATGCACCCTACCACACAATTTTTCCTCTGTATCACACTATTAGCACTTCCTCTTTAATAAATACACCACTGGATCAGCTAATTCATGCTGATCCAATAAATAGAACTTATGTATGAATACTGAAATATAACTCTTCAGCTGTAACCAGTTATGAGGCAAAATACACTGTGTTTCACCTTCCTTCATTGGTAACAGCATCCACTAGTTTCAGAAGGAGAACAGTCCAAAATTTCATAGTGTCCCAAGAATTATACACTAGTTTTCCTTCACTTAACAGGCCTTTTTTGTTAAGCCTTTGCATCCTTCTGAGATTCTGAGGAACGTTACAGTTGACTGGAAGAATGAGGAGAACTTAAACCAACAGAACCACACTCTCTTTTAGAAGCCTATATCACAACATATTTTATTTTTTAAAAAATTGCCAACAATTAGAATATGTTTTTAAGTGGTAACTGATATTTTACCTTATTTAGTTATCAGTTAATGTATTATATGTGATGCAAAAAATAAGCATCTTTTAATTACTTTTAAAATAGAAAAGCAAAGAAAAAACAGAAGACGAAGTGTAATTTTTCCCCCTTTACTTTTCCATTTACTAAGAAATGGAACTGACAATCATGATCAAAAATGCAAGGATCATTTCTGATTCACATATACATATTGAACATGAGTAGCTAAGTTCTGTTTGGGAGAACAACACAAACTGCTTTTTTCAGGTCAACCTCTGGCCCACACTCTACATACATCAGAAAAAAAAAAAAAAAAACAAAACGTAGTATAAACCTATAAAAGTTTTCTTTACTATAAACCAGATTAAGTTATCATTACTTTTGGGATGATGAAGAATGTGCCTAGCTTGTCTCATAAATCCACATTCAAACTGTTTCATAGTTAATTAAGAGGTGAGTAATTGTTCAGAAATCTCTAGAATATTAGAATATAACAACTTACAGCACAAAAGCAGCCCTTAAAGGGGATTACTTCACTACAAGTAACAGTTGAGTATGTTTTATGATCACTGTAACAACTAGCATGCCCTTGAGACTGTGCAATTCTGAATTTCTAATATAATTTGTAGGGGGGAAATTAGGACAAAATGCAGTAACATTTCAAGTACAGTCTTTCAGTATTTTAAAATTTTAGTAAGTATAAGGACTAGGTTAATATGGAATGAGTCATGTTTTTAAGAGAAGCAGTAATACAGACCTATATTTTAAATCATAACTAAAACCATGCTCAACTACTACAAAATAAAAATAAATCAGAGTAGCTTTTATTTGGAAAAAGGTCAACAACAACAATGAAAACTCAGCAATAACAGAAAAGGCTGTGAGCATTGCTAGTTTCAGTTTTGGAAAGTTAAAATACCAGGCTAAGTGACCAGGTAAAAACGATGCCTTCTTACTCAACAAATTCATTCCTATCAGCTGAAATTCATCCCAAATCAGTATAAACATTACACATATCACCTCTGAGCCTAAACATCAGGCTATTAAATGACATACACACAATGGTGCAGATCTTCTGATTTCAAAGTTATATTTGCTTTACTTAGTGTCAAATACATGCTGCATTACATCTCACTCTGTGACGTCTTCAAGACTCAACAGAATCATTTCTTGCTTTTCAAAGCAAGCAGTTACATCCAAGCAAACTCTCTTGGAGTCATTTTGCTCACAGGGTGAAGACAGTGAAGTTGCAAAGGTGTGACACTATAATTTATTTACATATTCTTTAGATAAATGTCCACACACCAACCGAAGGAACCCAGCTCAGCTCTCAGATCCCAAATTGAGTTTTCAATACAGAAATACCACCTCTTTAACTTCTGTTCTGAGTACAGTGATCTAGAGATGCTTGAAATACAAAACTCAGGCTGGCATCTTATGCACCTTACTTCTTAAGGCTAAGGCTGCAGTTACCATTCTCGCATATCTCAACTGTGACAACACAAGATACCAAAACTGCTGAAAAAAGGTTATTTGATCAAAGCTGAAGCAGAAAGCTCCAGCCCTTCTCTTCAGACCTCACCTCTGCTTTCCATCTGCACAAGTATCAGGAAGCATTAAACAAACCATAAAGACAGTCTGCAAATGCAAACTTCCAATAGTCTGTAACATTGAGTAATATTCCAGAAATGGAGTAAGATTGCATCAACCAAACTCCTTTCCAAAGAAGCTTTTAACTTCACTAGTCTTAGGCTGTCAAATGCGCTGAAGCAAAATACGCCCGACATTGCACAGAATTTTTTTTTAATTTTATTTTTTTCTCCGAGAGGAAGTTGTTAGTCCTGAAACAAACTGCAGAGAGTACCCAAGTCGGGGCAATAGAGCACTCAGCTTGGCTACAGCTTGCCCTCAACAGGCTTCTGGCAAAAGAGGACGCAAAACCAGTTACCAAAGGATGAACTATGTTATTGTCAAGTCACACTTTTCACTTCATAATTAACATGCTGCCTTACTTTCCACAGGATAAAATCCACATGCAAGTGTAATATTTTAAGTCATACAGTATAATGGTCTAGATGTTTCCTAAAAAGTTAAAATAATCCACTTGTGTACTAAAAAGTAGTTATTCTGAAAAACACTATTTACAATACAAGCTGGCTTATGGTCTGTCTGCAGGAAGGAACCACGACACCTCTAGTCAGTTAAAAAGGTACTTACCATTGGCAGTGCATTGATATGCGGAAGTTTTCCTTTCAGGTGCCTCTTGCCACAGAAGGGTGATGCTGACAAGGAAAGAGGGAGACAAAATAGGAAACATTATTTATTATTTTGAAAACGGTGGTGTTAACACAATAAAACATTATCATGGCTCTTTCAGCCTACTCTGTTCACGGAGCTCAGTGATTATCACCAAATTTGTACGCGGCCCAGAGCAGCAGCAGCAATCAGGCCCAGAAGAGCATACAGAGCTGGGCTTTTGCATATATCCTGTCACTACCCACATCACACAGACTGCTCCCGCAGGGAGCCTGAAACACAATCTTTGAGCAAATAAGCTTATTATCATGGCTCTTTCAGCCTACTCTGTTCACGGAGCTCAGTGATTATCACCAAATTTGTACGCGGCCCAGAGCAGCAGCAGCAATCAGGCCCAGAAGAGCATACAGAGCTGGGCTTTTGCATATATCCTGTCACTACCCACATCACACAGACTGCTCCCGCAGGGAGCCTGAAACACAATCTTTGAGCAAATAAGCTTGTGGCAGGAAT